GGTGGGTCTAAAAAGACCTGCCACTGGCGGAAATATCATTGGGGGCGCATTTCGGCACGCCTAATCAGAAGAATTATGATTTTACTTGCCACTAGAAAGGTGTTAAGGAATAGTTACACAGTTCATGTAATGTGGTGTTATATGTGTCCACTTTTGACATTGGTAGTGTTGAATAGAGGGTGACGTCACATGTCTCAAATAATTCCGTGTACACCTCAAAGTTCTAAAAATGGGACGCCGTAGAAATCTCGCTAGTACCGCTCAAACGCGTACCGCATTTGTAGACACTTTTGGTACAACTCCTTCAGTGAAAATAGGGTGGATAGAATTAGATGTGATTCGGGTATAAAAAAATATTCATTGTTAAATGCAATAGATAATTTACTTTAAAACAAACTTTGAATATCAATGTCTCTCTGTAAATCGCCATAAGTTGCAACATGGTCTATATTTCTTTTACACCTTTTACCATTTATCCTATCAATTACAACCGTAATACATTTAGAATAAGAGTTAAATTTGAATAACGACGCGAGAAAAAATATACGGGTCATAAGGTTCGTATGCCAATGGGAAAGCATTTGAATAGAATTGCGTTATCATGGCGTTTTGCTGTTTATTCTATAAAGCTGAGCGCTACATGTGCTTACTAATCCGATACTTCTCTTTGTATGATATACTAACTGTTGCCCACGACTTCGTCTGCGTAAATAAAATAAAACATTTTTTTACATTTCGAAGTCTCTAGAAAGTTTAAAAAATAATCTCAAGAACAACAGTAAATAAAGGGATAATGCAATCCCACTGTTGATGCAACGCAGCTCTTGTTAATGCAATCGGTCTTACGAACAACTTCCGTATATTGCTTAAGTAACAGTCTTTTCCTAGAAATCGCAACACAAACAAAACTTCTGCTTTATTCAAATAAGCAAAAATATAGCTTCCTTGTTTACTTAAAATCTTTACTTATTAAGAATCGCGTTTTAATATTAGAAATCGAGATAATCTAAAAGAGGTCATATTACATCATCGTTAATTTTTTCTGTCACTACAATCTACAATAACAATGTTAAACTAAAGTAACGCATTAATTCAACAATACTTAAAAACATCAAAAGAAATAACTATCATGGTCGTACTTGACGTAATAATAGATTCTGTTTCATATAAAAAAGTTTTTAATTTTCAATTTTTATAAAGTCTGCTGAGATCTATCCTTAAATATTTTTTACGAGAGAACAAAAGTAGACCCACAGTAGTAAAATACAAAGACAGTCTAACCCACTGGCTAGTTCTTTTCTTACATTAAAATTATATTAGAAGCCAACTAGCCAATTTAGGTTCTTAGTTTTGACAAATCCAAAATGTCAAATGTCAAATAAATCCTTGTGTATATTCATTTTATTAATCGTAGATACGATGTATCATTCTGGTTATCTATTTTTATAACGTTTTTTTGAATTTCACTAAAGGAAACCATCGATTTAGTATTTAAAATTCATTTGTTGTAGTTTCCCTACTGTCAAAATAAAAAATCACTTTCCGTATAATGGAACGTGAAATGTTAAAGACAAGCTGGCAACATTTTAATAATTATGGTGGCGTTGCGCTGTTTATTAGGCGTACAAGCTGACTTGTATCGTCTGTTTCTTTCACTCTGCGGCTTGTAGTATATAGCTGTCTTACTCCGATATACGACTGCGAAACACTCCGATGTAGGGTAACCGGAGTGAAACAAAATAAAATTTTAGACAGCCGCACGGATCAGCCGTGCGTCGCACAGTAAATTCTGGAATCGTTTTTAAGCTTTTTATTATTTTGATGAATGTTACGAAAACAAATGTGCACGTTTTTAAGTGAAAAATGTTATGAACTTACAAATACAGTTTTTGTATTAACGACTTTAAAAAATAACTAACAAAATATGATAGTGTCAAAACAAAACATAACATAACAAGTGAAGAAAATCCAAAAGTTGTGAAAACTGCAGTGGTAAGTAATACGAAAATTACATTAACTAGAATTTTCTCTTATAAGATAATTAAAAGCGTGATTGCGTAGAAAATATCTAACATTGATTATTATTTATTTCTATATTATACGCAGTAATATTAAAAATACGTTTAAAAAGGTGGGTAGTATTTAGTTTAATTCTGCTTCATCAATATTGTTAGAAAATTTTCGAAATATAAACTCTTCAAAAAAAGTGACCCTATTTTTTATTCTAAGGCATTCTATAAAAATACAATTAATTGAATATAGATTTGGTACAAAAGTTATCATTTTTAAACCTCTTTAGATTAGAATTGCTAGCTTTTTAATACTACATATTAAATTTCATCATATTGTTTTCTAGTTTAAAGTCCCAACCATACTAAATTTTAAATAATTTTTAAACTCTTTAATTTCTTTATATATTGTAGATTCCAGTGTTTTAACAATGGTTAATTTACAAGGCATTAAAAAGTCTGGTTTAATGTACTTTCTATTTTGACACAGATATACTTTCTGGGACATCCCAAGTAATAGCCAGCCAATGTTTTTGTAAGTAACTTTGTCGCTTGTTCTACAAGTTTTCTTGTTTTTGAAACAATTTCATACTAAAATATAATTCTAAAATTATTATGTATTTATTCAAATAGTTACAGCATTAAATGTAACGTTTCTATTAATTGGATCTAATAAGGATAATCTACCAAATAAACATTTTGATGTAATTTACTAAAGTTTGTGTTGCTTACTCATTTGGTTTTGCAAATAGCTAAAATTATAAACATTGTTGAATCTACAATTGAAGAAATTAAATTTATGTTATTAGTAATCTGGGCAAACAAGTAAACTAAGAACCAAACAGAAGTATAATTAACTTTGTAATTTGCTCAATTAATATGTGAAAATTCAACTATTATCAGTGTATTATAGCTGTTTATATTTATAAGTCATGGCAGTACAAGAAGCATATTACCTCAAACTTATTACATAAATGTCATGGTAGTATAAGTTTCTTGTAGTTGGTGAGCAGAATAAAATTAACCCATTATGCAGATAAAATATTTAAACACATAAAATTTATTAAGATGTTATAAACATCAAGACAAATTCTTACATAGCTTAATTTAAATTTATTGAATAAGAAATAGAAGAAAGAAATGCCAATAAAAAAAGAAAAAGAAAAGTACAAATAAGTATTTGAAATAAAAAAAGAAGACAGTTTGTGTTTGTAGTGATGTTCTTAATTTGAATTACGAAATTATCGTTAATTTCGAATTTGGAACGTTTTTCATGTTAAATTGTTAGTGGCCATGCTTCCAGCCAGTATACGCCAGTATAATGACCGTGGTAAGGCCAAAGCGCGCCACACCGGACCGTATAATTTGGTCCATCCTGCAGCACACTAATCACCGATAATGCCGGAACGGGGAGGGCGTGTGATTTATAACGAACAATTTTTTACCTTACAATGTACCTTAGATTAACATTCTCGTTTCGAAACAGTAGATTTCGGTAGGTTTTTAAAAATCACGATGTATGAATGACTAGATGACACTAATTTGATGTTAAATGTATCTAAAATTTGATATCGCGAACGTGTTGAAGAAATAATAATTTTGTCTAAAAGGTAAAAGAAATTAATAATCACTTATGCAGATAGTCTACTCGTTGTTATGACAGGTGGGTTCGGATTTGTATAAACATTTACATTTATAATAAAATTATTTATAATATCCGATGTAGTAATTTCCTGTGTAACCGTTCTCATATATTTAAACTTTTGTATTCATAATAAGTGAAGAATACACATTACTCCCGTCGTCTACTCGTGTCATTGACGTGGGAGTCAATTATGTACAATTATTCTAGTCGTAACACATAATATGCACGTGAACATAGGACAAAAACATGATTGAGACCTACGTGAATGTTACGCTAGACGAAACATCCGTTGAATTATTGGCGGGAAAAATTACATGTCTCATAACTATACAAATTGACGTTTCAAAATCAGTGCTGCCAACATTATTTTTTAATAAATAGGATATCTCAGAAACATTTGTTTACAACGTTCGATTAATACGTTTTAATCGATCCGTTTTACCGCTGTTTTTTATTCAGCCACTGATTTGGTTACGTTAACACGCTATGAGAAATATTCTGTAATTAATGTTTCGTGATTTTTTCAATTCACAACACAGCTACTTCGCATGAAAAACAACAATTTGCAACTACTGTTAATTACAATTAAAAAGATTTACGATACTTATAATTTATTGTAATAATCGTAACAGTTTGTTTTACAGCAAGTATTGCAAGTTAAAATTGTAATTTACGTTACTTTTACCTTTTTTGGTAAAGGAAAAGAAAATTTCCCGTTATTATGCCTTTTATAACCGACGGTGACGTAGTTTGAAATTCTTTTGAAATGACGTCAAAACATTTATTAGGTTATGTTTTGGTTTGGATGTCTACTTAACTTTATGCGCACCTTTACATATATGAAATAAATAAAAGAATCTCACAGGGAATAAAGTATATAAAAACAAACGTCATTATTATGTTGAAAACGATAGCGTAAATATTACAAGGGCAATAAGATCAGGCCATTATCGAGGATGGACCCTGAACTCGGTGTTGTGTCATCGCAGTAATGAAAACTGTTAGTTTGCTGTTAAAAAAACAAATTTTCTTCTTTCAATGAAAGAAAAAGTACCTCTTTACTATAATATTTTTTCCTAACCTACTAGTTACCTTTAGAGAAAATATGAGGGTCTTTTTCTTATCTGTGTAACGCGACTGGAACGTTTGCATGTTGTTCGTTGTTCTTCTCGTTGTTTTGTATTTCCAGTTCTTCTCTTGTGCCATCTTCTTTACCTATTAAGACACGACGTCTGCTTTCCCTTTTGGTGCATGTATGTTCTTGGTCTGTCCCTATTTCTTCTTCTATTTTAAGGTCGTTTGCCGTACTAGATGCTCCAGCATTTTTCTCATACATACTCTTTATGAAAAGTCTAATGCGTTAAACCTAGATGTCCTTACAAATGGCATGAAGGTCTAAAACTGGTTAGTACCGTGGAATATGCTTACCGTTACTAGTTTACCTTGACCGCGACAGGACCACATTTCTTATGGCCAGTTTCTCAGCTCCGTTTAACCATTCTTTAGTGTTTTTGGTCCGATAAATTGACATTGCATTCCGTAATTTGTAACTTGAATTTTACTCCGTTGAAATTTATGTCTATCTAATAATAATTAGTCACTGGGTAATGATAAAATAAATGACAACTTCAGAAACCCAGTATTAGTCCTACTACATCTGGTATTAGTTTATATAATTAGTTATTGATTCTGTGAGAAATTTCTTGTTGATTAATTGAGTTTGATTTTCATGTCTGTCGATCACGCGATGATGTTTTATTCAGTTACTAGCTGTTCCCATGCGGCTTCGTTCACATAAAATTATAAAATTATTTTACTGTTTACATTTGTCAAATTCTCAGATGTGACTGACTTCTTTAAATGAGCACGCGAATGATCTTTCGAAGTATTTCTCTTTAGAATTGTGTGCATTTCATACCATAGAGTATTTACAAACACAGAATAGTTGTGATACATTGTCACTGTTTAGTCTTTGATATTGTTTATGACAAACATATCTATGTTTATTAAATAGTATTTTTTATCATGATTAATTAAACTTAGGAATAAACTAAGTATAAACAAATATAAGTACAAATTTTGCTTACACTCAGTTTATTCCTAAGTTAAACTTAATACTGCGTTTATTTGTAAGGCTGTTATAGTATAGATATTCTATCCTTACACATGACACGTGACGTGGCATGGCGCAAGGAAGCGGTAATTTTGGTGGTTGACATTTAGTCATTACGACTGACAACAGCAGACAGGGCATTAACCTGACAACGCTAGGGTATGTTAGCTACATACGTTTTATGAAATCCTACGCATTAAGTAATCTTATTAATATTATAATTGCTAAAGTTTAGATACATGGATGTTTGTTAGAGTTTGTAGCCTAAACGGCTGAATGGATCTTCATGAAATTTGGCACAGATGTAGCGGATAGTCTGGAAGAACACATACACTAATCACTTTTTTTTTGTTAATTCCACGCGGACGGAGTCACGGGCGAAAGCTAGTAAAGTTTAAATGGATGGATGTTTGTTACTTTATAGCCAATACTTCTTAACTTATCTCGATGAAATTTGGCATAGATGTAGAGAACATATAGGCTTACTTTCGTTTTTTAATTCCACGCGGATGGAGTCGAAGGCGAAAGGTAGTATCATTTTAAAGATATTTCCAGAGTATCATGTATTTTTATAATCCTATAAAACTTGCATGTTGACATGATTGCCTGCTAAAATCAGTATTATTATGTAAAGAATTAAACTTGGTAACGTGGGATTCTAGTTGCCTTGAACTGCTTTTTGGTTCACTTCCTATGTTAGGTATTATAATTATGTATTGACGTCATTAAAATAATTGAGTAACATAATTTGTACTTGGCAATGTCATATTACAGAACTGTTTATGATAATTTAAATTTAAAATTAGTATTTGTAACTTCAAAGTGAACTATCCAAATAACTTCTCATACCAATGTTATCTTGAACGTCAAAAACTAAGTAAAACATACATATATACTAATATTATAAAGAGGTTGGATTTTTGTATGTATTGAAATAACTTAAATTACTTGGCTGATTTCAAAAATTCTTTCACAAATTTCAAAAAAAATTCTTTAAAATTTACGTGGACTAAGTCACGAGTAACAAAAAATTAAGCTAGTTTGTTAACTAGCGTAACATAGAGAAAGTACAAGAACAAAGTACCGATATACTAGGTCAGTCAGAATTGATCAATTGTCTACCGAGTCAATTGCCACGGGCGCCCAATGAGCGGACATGGGCAATAAGTCAAAGTGGCCCATGTAGCTAACATACCCTAGTATTGCTCAAGTACTCGGCGTACCAAGTTATGGCCTTCCAGGTTAATCTACGTTAGGTCATCTCAATCATTTTCTACGTATCCTTTCACACAATACATCCATCTCTTTCTAGAACTACATCTACCGGTCTACCACACGCATAACTAAAGTTCTAGCAAGTATGTCAATGAAATCGAAACATGCAGTATCTTCTTTCTTTCTACTACCTAAGATGATTAATATGTCTATTGTCAGAAGAAAAACAATACGAGTATATTCTGGTATTGTCAAAACATCTGCCAATCAACTATGTTTAATTACACAGTAAATCATTATATATTTTTAACAAATACGTAGACAAGGCAATATTGCAAGTGTCATACGCGCGTACTGACCGACGTTACACGTCGAACATTCATGTAGTCACTACGTAATGTAACTGGGAAAACAGCGACCAACGAACTAGGTCCTTTCACTTAATACGAAAAATTTAATTACTTCCTTATGTACGTAAATTGAAAAATGAGCATACAATGACCTCATAAATCTAATTAACTTTTCACGAGGAAATTGCTATGATAACTAGTTTTAATTGCTTACCGATTGTGTTGCTAGATTGAAAGAAATATATAAAAGGAACGGATTGCCAAGAAGCTGAATTTAGGTTTGTCGTTGCGAAATGGAAGTGTGGACATCACACCATTCGCATATTTGTCGTTTACAAGATACTCGTAGTGTATATAATTTTTTTTAGATTTTTTTCTTATTATATAAAGCCTCTACAGTCTGTGGTCAGATTTGTAGCATCGTTTAGGAACAGAGAAAAAAATTGTGTAAACATTTACTCAATCTGTTCAACTTTTACTTACTAAATCGTGGTAAAAACAACTCGGTGACCCAACTCAAGGAATATCAAAGGTACCCTCGTTTCTTAGTTTCAAAAATAGCTCCCACCCTTCACGTTACGAGCTCTCGTAAAACGCAGGCAACGCTCGCTAGCGCGGATAATTGTCGGTGTGTTTGTTTCTTCACGTGTCAATTGCTAGGAAGCTGCTCAACCTATTTTATGTATGCTATTGAGTTACGGGTAAAAAAAATGTTACATTCCTACGTTGTAGGGTTTACATTTTTTGCCCTTTGCCCCGTTGTATGTTGTAGTTTTGAATATATATAAAAAAATAGTATAGCTTTATCAAAGAGACTATAATCGCATAGGTCATCTTTAATGTACGTGCCGTAATTTAATTGTCTTTTGCTTAAAACAACGCATCTGTCGCAATTGATATTGCTGCCCATAGACGCGGTCGATTCGATATTTCGGAGAAGGTGACCGTTTGTTTGTTTGCCACCCTAAGTTATACTACGAAATTATATTGTTTCATTTATACACATACGTGTATAAAAACTGCGTTCAAAATACGTTTGGAATGAATGACTAATACTCGATAAATTCTCATTGACATAATTTATTTGTTAAAAACTTTCGTTTGTTTTACATGTACGAAATAAAACCAGATGGTACACTTGTCAACACTTCTGTCAGTAAACTTTTCAATATTAGATTTCTTTGTGTTCAATGTTCTCAGAAAAATAATTACATTGATAAATGGTTGACATAGACTTTTGATTACAGTATAGTATTTTTAAATATGATACATAGAAAAAAACCTACAACTTTAGCGTCATATTTAGAATTAGCACTTGTTAATACAGGCGTTACTTGAAAACTTTGATATCTATTTTAATTCAGCTTTCATAGTCAGTAAAAAGATCATTAGAAAAAAAAACTTTTTGTGCTGAAATTGTGAAAGTTTTCAGTTACAAGTTTTTCCTACCAGTTTCACTAGCCATTGTTTAGTTTTTTAGCGCTCCGTTTAGAAAGCGTTGCTAAATAATAGATCACGGTTTTGTCAAATTCTAAATAAAATCAATTTACATGACGATATGATAAAGTGTTTTTTACACTTGTATCCGATAATCTCTATTTGATCAAATAAGTGTCGGTTAGAAATCGTGTCGATGTTTTTAACTTTCTTTTGGTTATATTTTAAAAATTGTATTTGCTTTTTTAAATGTCCGCTTCTTGTTTTTGTATTGTTCTCTCTCGATTGTTTCCATTTCGAATAATTTGAAGCCATCGAAAGCATCTCATTTGATTGGTAGTTTTCTAGAAATTATTTTATTGTGATCAGTTTTTTTTTCTCATATGCTTTTATTATAAGCATAATAGGCAGTATTAATATGAGTATTGTTATGTATTTTAGATTATTTTATAATGCGGTTCTACTGATCTGATGAGAATTTCTTTATTAATGTTTGGTTCACATCTGTACGAGTTATTCACATTTTATGTGGTTGTTACTAGAAGAAGTCTTCTGTGAATGTTATAGTGAAGAAATATATGTAAGTGGACTTGTATGTAACGATTATTTTGACTTTTTAGATTTCTATGCCTTATATATTATAAATAATGAACTATCATTGAGTCCTTCGACTTTCATTTAAACGCTAACTTGTTAATTAATTTAATAATAGACAAATAAATAATTGTTAGGAAACTCCTCGTAGTTGAAAAGCATCGTATTATTTGTATTTGTTATAGTCGTTTTTAAATCAAACTATCTTACGTTGTGTAATATTTTATTAGAAGAACCCAAAGCTATATACATTTTACTCGTTGCCTAACTTGTTTGGACAACTGCATTAAGTGGGACTTAGATTTTTGTGATATTTGAAACTACCAAATTCCAGAAAGATATTCTTAATGTGAATTGAAATTACTTTTATTTCTATAAATTGTTCTCTCTTATCAATAAATAGGATTTTAAAATAATACTTGATTAGTTTCTAAAAATGTAGTAGGAAACACTCACACTTGCATTTATCATATGCAGATATTATATAACCTATTAAATCTAAATCAGCAATGCACTATAAACTTTTTATTATAGCAGCAATCACGATAGTCGGACGTTAACCTTTACTAGTAGTGGCCCTAATGTTGTACCTTGCGGGATCCCTGTTCGGATCAGGTGAATTTAGACTTTAATCGAATTAGTTTAAGGTTTAAAATGTAAATGTGAAATTTTCTTTTAGTTACCAACGTATATTAAATCAAGTGATGTGTTAAAAACGTAATCGCGTAGTTGTATTGTTTGTCCACCGTGTCTAATGCAATATGTAAGTCGACATGCAATCTGTGCTGTAATAACACATTTACATAGAACGTAACCCTATTATATTATATTACATTGTTTTATAATTGATTCTTTATTTCTTATCTCTGTATATAGACAGATATCTAGATTTGTAGTTTGATAGTAAGATGTGTTTATAATTTTTAAAATAAGGAATTAATAACTTCTTAGAAATTTTGTTGTTTTTTATTAATAAATAAAAGCTTTATTTTTTATGCACACACATTTTGAGAGCCTTGTTTCCTGCACTAGGTTTCCCTGTGTCGCAGTAGCCAAAAGTATCTTTTTTAATATCGTTTTTTCTTGACAATTATTTCACGTATGTCCTTTTGTTCCAGGTACAACAAGCAATCTCGACAATAATCTCGCATCGCGATACAGCGATACTATGAATTTTTGACAAGACTGATTTTACTGTAGTTAAGAAAACGCACATAACTCGATAATTGCGTAATGCTATAAGCTCAAGATGTTGAGACTTCTCGGTGGACTGAGCGTGTACTTTAAGTACCAAGATATTAAGACTGACAATGCGGTGTTCCGCCTCCACAATGTGTTCACGACGGTGTTACTGCTCACCTGCTCGCTTATAATCACCGCCACGCAGTACGTCGGACATCCCATACAATGCATCGTCAACGGCCTCCCAGCTAATGTCGTTAACACATTTTGCTGGATCACCTCTACTTTCACGATGCCAGATGCTTTTGCTAGAGAGGTAAGTGTTACAGTTGTTACCATCTTTAGTATTGATTTACTGACGATAATATCATCATCATCATCACCAGCTCACTATACGTCCCCACCGAGTTGCTCGTAGCCTACCCTAAGTATGGGGTGACTAGGCCATAGTCAACCACGCTGGCCCAGTGCGGGTTGGTTGACTTCACACATATCTTTGAATTTCTTCGACTGATGATAATATGATCTCGGTTAACTTTTGCTTATTTAAGGTATTATTAATGTCGCGATTCCTAACATCCATAAAGTCAATCATTCCAAAATTTACTACGAATTGCTCTTATAATAAAAAAAATCCATTTTTTTTCTGAGAATGTCTGGCTACCGATAAATCGAGTTTTAAATTTAAAATTAATGTCAATGAAATGGAATGTGCGTATGATTTACAACGCCAGAGGCGCGGAAGCGTGTTGCCTAATGTTTATTTGATTACATTACCGTCGGATACGTATATTACTGACGTATTCTTGAAGGATTCGTTATAACGCAACGCATACTTAATTAATTCCTTGTTAAAAGCATGTTTTTAATTTGTTGCATTTGTCGATAGAGCACGTCAATGTTAGCCCACATCTGCAAGCACTTTGCGATTTGTTCCACATGTGACAGGCTAGTTACCACTATGGATGAATACGCACAGATTTATGACGCAACAATGTATATACCTACAGTATAATGTTAACTACGAGTATGTTACTTAGAAATTTTACTATGACCTCAAAGGGTCTGATTTATGTTTAACAAGAGCGAGAAATGGAAGCGAGAGATGGGGTTAAGTGTTTTCTGTACTAACTACATGTTTACTTGAATGACAGATTTTTTTAATTTCTGTCCGCACCATTAAGGTTATGCGACCGTGAGATTTTTACAAAGTTAACAAGTAACCTTTATAAGTTTCATGCTAATAACTCCTACATAAACGATGAGTTAATTCGCACAGCCGCGCCTGTCGTTACATAATTTGACGTGATATTAACTTGAATTACGTATTGCCGGTCTGATTAACTAGGTCTTGGGAAACCAGTCGAATAAGGCTGTTTACCTCCAATAATAACTTCAGCAGGGTTATATTAAATCTATATCTAAACTTTATACTAATATAATAAAGCGTAAACACTCACTACTTTGTGGCGTAGGCTGTCAGCAATCACAGTATATTTTTGAATAATTCTTCCTTTAACATAAGGCCCTACAATTTCGACACGATTTAGTCTATATATTTTCAAGGTATTAAACTTAGGGGCTAAAAAAATGGAAAAAACCGTAATGTAGGAAAGGGACCATAAACTACAAGCTGCCAACATTAAAATCTAGATTATTTTGGTAATGGTGATTTTGACGTTTGTGATTGAGAATTTGAAAACCGCATGGGAACAGCTAGTTATTAATATTAATAATTATGGTGTTTGTGGCAAGATAATAAAATAGTGTTAACATAGTTATTAATTTCTTACGTAGCTATGATTCATTGGCACCCTTTATTACGTTATTACAATCTATTACATATAATTCCATTATTTATCCGATGTAACATCCAAGCCGCGCAAATCTAAACAAACTAAAATAGTTTAATTGAGTCATAACAATTTATAAACCTACGAGCGACTGAGTGTCGCCATCTATTAGTTCATTTTAGACACAAATAGAGATCGTTTTGCACTTTATTTTAATCGCCAGTTAACTTACGATTAATGGTTTGACCAGACGTTAATTGCCGTGGGATCAACCTTGTCAATGATACCTTCACATTATTGTGATTTTGATTTATAAAGAGTAAAGTTAGCTATAACTTATTTTTATATTAGCTTTCGCCCGCGAGTCGACCGTGTGGAATTAAAAAAAAACAAAAGTGTGTAGCCTATGTGTTCTTACAGACTATACTCTACATCTATGCCAAATTTCATCGAGATCCGTTCAGCCGTTTGGGCTACAAACTCTAACAAACATCCATCCATCCATCTAAACTCTCGCATTTATATTAGTAAGATTTTCGCGTATTCAATTCAAAAATAGAAGCATCTCAACCGCTCGGAGCAACAAGAAAAATACCTTCTCGGTATTGGAATCTCGAGACAAAATTTCCAAGTGATACCAAAAGACTCCTGAATACCCCTCGAACACAAAGAAATGTGCTAAGTATGCTTCGTACTTCGTTTTGGCTACAAGCCAATGTATGCATTGTCCCCTATGTGTGGCTTTTTGTTTAATTACATTATAAAAGGTGCTTTATTAGATGCTTGAATAGACTTGAATAAACTAGTTATGGAATTAGCTAGGTTATGTAAATGAATCGTAAAGAGCACCAACCATAACATATTATTGAAATTCTATTGATACGGAGTTCAAAAAGGCATTGTGACATCTCACAGTAATAAGCAATTTGTCGTTTTTGTGTACAGTCGAGGAAACTGGCGGTGTTCTATCTTAAAAATACAATAATTTTGAAACGTGACGTGGAACAAAAACCAATACAACGCATTTTTTAACTATAATATATATGAAAAAAGCCGGTTAGTGATAAACTAGTTTCTTTTTATTATTATCCCTTCGTTTGCACTCATTGCTATCTACTTTGTTACTTATTAGAAAACGCTAATTTTGTCTCGTTGTAATGAACAAAGCAATTTTTTTGTAAGTTTGCCACCGCGCATTTCTGCGATTGTACTTTTAAGATTTCCATATGATGCGGGTTTTGACTTGCCTCTTTTGTTTAGTGAATTAATGTTTAGGCATAATGTTGTTTTGCGTAATACAAATTTTAACTATTGGCAAATGGCTTGAACAAAGTTATTTTACTGATAAAGCTTTGAATTTATTATTACAGGTGTGTTGTTAATTTTGTAAGTTGAATTTACAGCACATTGTATGCTTGGTGACGATGATATTTAGGTCGAGTGCTCGCGAAATCACTAATTAGTTGTTTACCTAAACGAGCTACGTGTGAAGGTTGGCGGATATTTTTCATTATTTTTATGTGGTGTCGGTTTTAGCGGAAATTTTTTTTAGTTAACGCGCTTTTCATATCTTTTTTTTGGTACATAAATGTCGGACTTAAGATGAATGTTGCCACACCTCGATTGTCTTTTAACTTAGAAATTTGTGAATAATTAAAGGAGAATATTCTAGAATCTTTCAGTGCTTATCTATACTTCTATACTATTATAATAAAGCGTAAACACACACTTCTTTGTTGCCTAAGATGTCAGCAATTACAGCATATTTTTGAATAACTCTTTTCTTAATAAAAAGCCCTACACTTACGTCACGCTTTAGGCTATATATTTTTGCGCCATTAAACTTAGGGGGTAAATATTTTGGATAAAAACTCTAACGTAGGAAAGAGACCATAAGTTGCTGCCAACATCAAGAAAGCAAAATTGCTAAGGTTTGTCATGTCATGTCATTTTGACATTTGCTATTAACAATTTGAAAAGTGTAAACAATAAAATAAATTTTTCATAATTTCATGCGGATGAAGACGCACGGGAATAGACTAGACTAGCTAGATTAAAAAGAACTTCAAAGTAGTGGTGAATGCGTGAATCGTTTATCACTAAAAGATAGAATTTTGTATTGTATATTATGTGAAGAAGACTTGACAGTGATAGATTGGATGGCAGTAAACGTACTCTAAAAATTAACTCTAGATAACCTACATATCTATTAGTAAACTTTTAAATCAAATAAGGCACTTTTCTGGCCTGGACGTTAACCTTTGAAGTAGTTTGATAATAATTCGTCGACAACTAAATGCAATCATCGAATGTACAATACCAATACAACGTCTTTCATTGCACAAATTACATACAAGTTGACAATTGCGCCCAGTGCGTTCGTAACTGGCAACTTCCTCTGCGCGCACGTGAGAAGATTTGCAATATTTTTTCATTAAAGCGGGCGTACATCATAGTAAACTATCGCATAACTATTATGCGATTGTAATTGTTTTGCAGTCAATTCAACTGTTTAGTCGCATAACTAAAAATCGAGTAGCGCACCTTCATATAACCTCATAGGAATCAAAGCGGGACTAATATAGTTGAGTCAAAGGTGTCTTCATATTGCGATGACAATCTGCTTTGTATGCTCGTAAGCTGACTAAATGTGGTGACTTGAACATTGCTGCAATTGTTAGGAGAATTGACCCTCTTGATGATTTGCAGTAAGGAATTAATATTGAACTCTGAGCTAGTAAGAACTAAGTCTATACCTAATCATCTGATCAATAAGTACTAGGTAACAGAGCTTCTTATGT